TTAATTTTCCCTTTTGGGCCCCGCCCTGGCCCCTAGGGTTGGGGTAGGAATCCCAATTTTACAATTTAAAACCATCTTCCTCCTCCAAGGATAATTCTCACCAAGTAAAAATAATTTCCAAAAGGAAAATTGTCAAAATATACCCAAAAGTGTTGTTTCCCAATATAAACTATAGTAAACTTTACCCCCTCCCCAAGGGAGAACGGATAGCTCGGGGGTCCTGAAATTTACAATTTAAATAAAGCCCCTGATGAGCTTTCCATCCATTCAGAGAAAATGACTGTAATATCTCTGAGTCTGGAGAAGAAGATTTTTGAAATATTGGTTAATTTTCCCTTTTGGGCCCCGCCCTGGCCCCTAGGGCTGGGGTAGGAATCCCAATTTTACAATTTGGTATCCTCATCTACCAAGGATGATTCTGACCAAGTTTGAAAAGATTCCATCCACTGGTTCTTGAGAAGAAGTTGATTATGTAAAAGTTTACGCACGACGCACGACGGACGACGGACGACGACGGACAGAAAGTTATTGGAATAGTCACTTGAGCAAAGCTCAGGTGACCTAAAAAGCTGAAAATATTAGTGTTTTTGTGAAAATTCAGCTTTTACGGAAACATCCTAAATGTATCTTTTATTTCCAACAAATCATATAATAAATATTTTGTTATGAAATACACAAAAATTGTTTTTTAGGTCATCTGAGCTTAAGCTCAAGTGATCTATTGCTATACGTCTTTGTCCGTCGTTGTGCGTTAACATTTTACATTTTCAACTTAAGCTGAAATACTGTCAATGGGATTTCATTGATACTTCAAGGGAATGTTACTGACAACTCTCTGACCAAGTGTTGTTATTTTTAGGGTCAATCAGAAATCGAATATGGCCACCACGGCCGCCATTTTGACAATTCATTTCAAACTTAAAGTCAAGTTCTACTGGACCATTTTTGTAACTGAAACTCCGTAGGAATGATCGATTCATGGTCCTGACAAAGTGTTGTTATTTTTTGGGTCGATCAGAAATCCAATATGGCCGCCACGTCCGCCATTTTGAAAACTATTTCAAACTAACAATAAAGTTCTACTAGGCCGTTTTAACTGAAACTTTGTAGGCATGATCAACTCATGGTCCTTGCAAAGTGCTGTTTTTTTTTTTTTACTGAAATTTTGTTAGGGATGATTGACATCATTATCTCCACTTCATATTGGGCCTCTTGTTTCATTTAGTCTTTCTCCCAGACATTCTATTTTGACTATTAATAAAATAATATATAATCCTTAAGATTTAACGTCACTTTAGACCTGTCAAACCTGCAGCACAAGCGAAATAGTAACATGTATATTTTAGATAGCATAACATATATTGTTTATCTACAGTGCGTCCCTATTAGGATTTCGTTTGGAATTGTCATATTTCGTTGTACGTTTTTTTTATTTTGCTCATTGATGGTTCTGACGTCAATATACTTAATGAGAACGCGAGCCTTACATTGATATTTTGTTCAGGTTTCATTTGTATTGATTTAGAATTCCGTTACATTTTCATTTCTTTTCATGTAGGTATATTCCCACATTATGTTAATGAGTTTGGTAATCATTTAAAAGCAACCAATATTGAACCTAAAACACAAAATGTTTTTGATTGCACTTTTAATATTTGGTGGTATTACAGAGTGCCAAAATATGAATTTCACTGCATCATATAGCTGTTTCGTCCTTCTAGGACTGACTTATCGGGTGATGAAAGGCGCCAAAAGGTTGGAAATTCAAATTGTCTAAACTACTGTTGAAACAGAGCGGCATGCATGTGCATAAAACCCGTAATTTATGAATTTGGAAACGAACTGGTTAATTTCAAATTACGTAATATGTAAAGTGTGTGTAATATGAACCGTGCCACTGCTCAAAGTGGACACCTAAGGCCATAACGGTTTCAGCAAACCTCGGGGACTAAAACATCCACCAGTAGATTATAACACCTTGTATTACGTTAGAAGATTCACGTAATACACACATAGGTGATTGAACCGTAATACACACACATGTGATTGAACCGTAATACACACACAGGTGATTGAACCGTAATGCATACATAGGTGATTGAACCGTAATACACACAAAGGTGATTGAACCGTAATACAAACACAGGTGATTGAACCGTAATGCACACACAGGTGATTGAACCATTATACACACACAGGTGATTGAACCGTAATACACACACTAGTGATTGAACCGTAATACACGCACAGGTGATTGAACCGTAATACACACACAGGTGATTGAACCGAAATTCACACACAGGTGATTGAACCGTAATACACACACAGGAGATTGAACCGTTATACACACACAGGTGATTGAACCGTAATACACACACAGGGGATTGAACCGTAATACACACACAGGTGATTGAACCGTTATACACACACAGGGGATTGAACCGTAATACACACACATGTGATTGAACCGTTATACACACACAGGGGATTGAACCTTTAAAATTTGGTAACATAAAAAGTATGCCAAAAATTTAGAGTCACCTCAATCCAAAGTTTCTCTTATCAATTTTCTCTGCGTAAATAGTCAGTCTCTCGATTAGAATGATTTCTAGTCCTAGGAATAATTGTACTATCGGATAATGATAAGATGAGGTTTAAACATGTAACGTCGACAAACTGAAGACATGCAGACCTTTTCCTGTAGGGGGGAAATCCCATATTAGTATCGAAAATCCATGTTGTGCCTAGGTGGTTTAACAACAATACAAAATATTACAGAAGAAACTAACCATTTAAATCATGTTTTAATTCGATATTTTTTCATTACAACATTAGCTCTCATTATTACACATTTTCTCTCTTCGGTGCTCCTTAGCTCAAAATCAATGCAATATGATAATGTCAACGCAACAGTAAGTTTCATCACTTCAAGCACAGGAAAATTCACAACCGACATCACCAATCAAGAAACAAGACATCATCGATATTCAAAAATAGAACAAAATTGTTGTGAATTGGGAGACGGGTGAGAATGTGCTATGATAGAAGAGTTTCAAATTTCAAACAAAGCAATATTTTGTTGGGTTTTTGGGATAAAGAGGCGAATCATTTTATGCTAAAAAGCCGTTACCTTGACGGGTGGGCTATTGAGATGAGAGGGTTTAAAACAGCAGCTTATAACACGTATTGAGTGGTACGGGAATTAGCAAATTGAAACGTTGATTGGAATGTATAGGTAAGATATCCAATTTTAATGTGATATGGTAATATAGAACGACGGACAAGTGCAAATTGCAAAAGAGACTTAAAATTCAAAACGTTTTTTGTGACGTTAGGAAGAGTTTCAAGCAGTAGAATAAGAGGGACGTTTTATGGGGATGATTGTGTCATGTTTGCAAATGAAGTTGACGCGGGCGGGACTTACCTCTTTGTTAGCTTGTATTGTTACCTTTTTAATATGTTAAATTCATGTTAAATTTGGAGTGGAGGGTGTTGAAGGATGGGATGACATTGTGTTAATTGTAAGGGGGAATAGTAAATGGTGCCAAGTCACAAAAAGGCACAATATCGTTTAAATATAACATATAACTTAATATCATCATCATTAATCTAACAAGCATTCGTATTGAAAAGCTGCATCAATTTTTCAAAATTGACTAACTATGTTAGACAATTTAAAACCATTATAAACATTGAAGCTGTTCAATGTTTATAATGGTTTTAAATTGTCTAACATAGTTAGTCAATTTTGAAAAAAATCATTTTTTTAACTGATTAAGCCAAAAAAAGAACTTGTTAACACTTTTGATAAAAGCGATTTAAAATCAAAGAATATGTTGATATACGTTAACCAGATTACCATTCAGGCATCTTACATAAAAAAAGCAACTGTTGCTATTGTATCTATACAAACAGATCATCATACGAGTATCTTACGTAAACAAAGAAACTGTTAATAATTTATCTTTCAAAACCAGATCACCGTACGAGTATCTTACGTAAACAAAGCAACTGTTTATAATTTATCTATCCATATAGAGATCATCGTAGGGGCATGTTACGTAAACAGAGGAGCTGCTAATATTTAATCTATACGTAGAGAACCTCGTACGGGCATCTTATATGTAAACATAGAAACTATTAATAGTTTATCTATACATAGAGATCATCGTACGTGCGTCTTACGTAAACATAGAAACTGTTAATAGTTTATCTATACATAGAGATCATCGTACGTGCGTCATACGTAAACATAGAAACTGTTAATAGTTTATCTATACATAGATATCATAGTACGGGCATCGTACATAAACATAGAAACTGTTAATAGTTTATCTATACATAGAGATAATAGTACGGGCATCTTACATAAACATAGAAACTGTTAATAGTTTATATATACATAGAGATCATAGTACGGGCACCTTACATAAACATGGAAACTGTTAATAGTTTATCTATACATAGGGATCATCGTACGTGCGTCTTACGTAAACATAGAAGCTGTTAATAGTTTATCTATACATAGAGATCATAGTACGGGCATCTTACATAAACATAGAAAATGTTAATAGTTTATCTATACATAGAGATCATAGTACGGGCACCTTACATAAACATAGAAACTGTTAATAGTTTATCTATACATAGAGATCATAGTACGTGCGTGTTACGTAAACATAGAAACTGTTAATAGTTTATCTATACATAGAGATCATAGTACGGGCACCTTACATAAACATAGGAACTGTTAATATTTTTACACAACTACCACCATCCGATAGTTCAAAGCGAGATTAGCTTTCCACAACTTTGCACAACTTAGTTTTTCAGAACTATTTCAAAATTGACAAATACTGTCGTATTCATTACAATTTATCTTGATACGATCATTTCAAATCTTTATACATGAGACTTCAGTTTTGGATTTTGTTGTTTTTTGGAAATATAGTAGTTTTAAACTTTCGCGTTGAGTTATCATTAAGCTAATCATACTTTAAGAGCAGGCCCCTGATCAGCATGTTGGCGGCTAATGTAACATACAGCAACTGTCGATAGGTTACCTTTAAAATCGATTGTTACTTAATATTACACAAGACATAAGTAAATTCTTCAATAAGACACCGGGATAACAGTTTAACATCAATATCATTATATGGCACATTTTAGTACACGTCATGCAAAGGCATAGTTCGCTCATGCGAAAACCGTTGAAGCTGCCTCTGACACCAGGGACAGATCATATAAAGGCCTCTTTTCTTTGCAAGAAACCAGCTGTCTGTCCTGTATCGTGTGTGCATTATCTAATATCCATCATTATCACTTCACTCAATCTACCTAAACATGAGCTTTTATGACGATTCAAATACTGGTCTTGACTAAACAGTGCTAAGTAGACAAAATTAATTTCAAATAACTTCCGTCACCTGATCATGTATCAAAGAAGTTTTTTGTTAACAAATTAACGTTGATTGGCGAAGAAAAATATGAACATATTTCTTAGGGGCATTTTTTATCGAAAATTTTGAATAAAGAAATAAATCATAATAATATATTTACTATGTATTAATTTCGATATACAATGTAACCGGCTGATAATGAGGTCACACACATTTACTTGTATGAAACTGATGAGAAGCCTCCAACATTGAAGACTCTGATAAGACTTTCACCATAAAATATAAGAATTCTATTAACAACTTATTGCAGACAAATGATAGAATATGTGAATTTCATAATCAGGCGCTTCAAAAACCAGCAAAAGCGCGGCTGTCATTAATGTTTTTATTACTAAAATTTAATCAATAATGCTTGACACGAAAACGTGTCAAATGGTTTAAAAAAAATGTAGCTTGCTGGAGACTTGATGCACCTGCTCAATGGTTTGTAAACCAGCTACATGTTATATAAATTTGTAACACTAAAGTACTGTCGCCAGCTGTAAAAATGTAACTGACGCAACCGTATTTCATGTTTCTAAATACTGCTTGGCAATATCTCTGTTACCTGTAAATTATAATGTGAATGTCAAAAACATGTTATGATCCAAAAACATATCAAGAATGGTTTTGCTACGATTAAAAATGATCAATTTACTTGTACAACTCAAAAAGATATTTTTTTCTCCAAGTAACGACAGAGACATACAATAATTTCAAGCAGAAACACATGAATAGAGGCTATCTCGGTTGTCTTATGGCGTATGGCCATGAAAAACACGAGACTATCTCGGTTGTCTTATGGCGTATGGCCATGAAAAACACTGTCTAAGGCAATGGTTTTTAATACAATACACTGTGATTGTCATGGTTAAAAAATCTTACTTTGACACATCAACAAATTGCAACATCATTCTAAACTCTGTACAAAAAAACAATTATTCTCTCATTTTTACATCAACAAATAGCAATAACAATATTAAACTCTGTTTGTACAATAACAATCATATTGACACATATATCATTAAAAAAATCTTATAATATGCACATCATCAAAATGACAATACCAACATAATCTCCGACAATGACAATGTTGACAAGGAATACACCATCAGTATATTCTACCGTCTAACTAGTCTTTTTCACTGGATTTCTGTATTTGAGACTGTGAGCGAAAAATTTCAACCGATTTTCACACCTCTTATAGAAGTTAACTAAACATGCTGTATCGTCACCGGGGAAATCAAAAACCAAATGGATTCGAAAAAAACAATCATGCAACTTCAACGAGAACAGAAAATATGCGACGTCACAATCATAATATTTGGACTAATTGCGTTAGTTTGTTTCATGGTTTGCCGTTGAATACTGTATAACATGAAATGTTCGTTGTGTATAAACATTCGTTGTTTTCGTGTTTGCCTTTGAACCACGAAAAAAATACAACGAATTTGAATGATTCACGTGTTGTCTACTGTTGTAAATACAGAATATCCACGAAAGTTTGTACCACAAAACGATCTATAAGGCTTCAAACACCACGAAGGAACGTTCCCACGAACAGTTCGTGTTATACAGCAGCAGAATATCGATATTTTCTTCAGGAGTGCGAAGCACACATGAAAATACTTGCATATTCTGCAATAGATTTTATAAAGTAACACAACGCAGTTACCGGAATGTATTTGCAGATCAGAAAGAAAGTGATTGATTCTTGGTAACAAATAACAAGTTCAGTTTGCTTGAACTTATATTTCATATTATTTACAATTCAATAAAGTATTTATTTTATATATTTGTAAAGCAGATTCAATCTTTATACTGCACGCAGTGTAAACAATTAGAATAACTGTATTATTAGTAATACATTTTGTTAGAATACAACATATACATGTTAAGGCATTATGATATAACACACAGGTCCGGCGTGTCTGGAAACTTCTTTTCATTTAGTATACAGTACACTTTACTTCTTGTATATATATTTCGAAACAATAATTTGTTGCCATCTTATAATCTTTAAAAATAACAACATCTCAACTTATTTATCCCCATACGACTACCAAAAAATGAAGCTATGAAGGCTTTTTAAAGAAAAAGTGATAAAGAGAAATATTAATAGAATAAAAACTTTTTTCGCCCTCGAGATGAAACTAACCTAAAAAAAAAATCAAAAAAAAATCAGCAAAGACAGTCAGTGAAAAGGCAGCAAGAGAAGAGAAAATGGTATTTCTCAAAAACACAACCACACTTACCACCTGCAAGATCCTGACCTATGTCCTTACTTTGACCTTTGAAATGAATATCGATGATCAAAGAATGATGTATTGAACAATGACCGATGAGTATTTCCTTCTTTATCCGCTCAGTATCCCGATCTGAATACACATTACTTTTACTGCAGGAAATATCAATCATCCGATCACCATCTCTAATATTTCTCATCTTAATATGCATAATATTAATAATGTGAAATCTCTTGTTTACAATCGCCTAACCGGCTCAGACCAGAGACTCACGTTTTATAATTATATATAAAGGATATTTAATGGTTTCTCTTTGAAAAATACATTTAACAAGTACGGCAGATTACCAATATCGGTATATTCTGCCATACAAATAACATAACATTGGTGTCTTTCAGACTTTTGGTGATATATTCTGGCATATTTCATCAGGCGAGCTCATCGTAACCAAAATTGTTTTGACATTCAAAAAAGTCTATATGCGGCAAAAATCCACCAGGAATGTCAGAAAACATTGGATTGCTTTTAACAGGTTTTGTTTACCCGAAAACAACCTTTTTATGCGAGGTGAGTTATTGGTTGCGCATCCGCACAGCACATGTTATTAGCGGGTTACTCTGTTGTACACATCACAGACGCATAATAACAACACCTATATACAGACGCATGCAAACCATCACAGACATATGCAAATATTAAAATAAATTAGACTTAAAATGTTCACCTTTTATCATTCATGATCTGACAGTAAATTGAATACAAGCAAGCGTCTATGTTTCGGTTCACAGCCTTGTAATACTAGGCATAATCACAATGGTGAACACTTATTCACACACACCACTCACTGATAAGTGCGGTGTAAAAAGAATAAAACCTGGTAATATCATATCACATGCCAGAATACACTTCGACCGTTACCGAAACTGTAGCTAAAGCCCTCGGTCTGACATTGAGTTCACAGACTGACATACAGGCGATACCGTAAAATATTGTGGTAATATTTGCGTTATGATCCTTTAAAATGATCATGGTGTGAAAATATTTGAGCTGGAAATAATAATTTTACTCAATGCGAAGAAAAACAAACTTTTCTACAATATATGGAATTTAACAGCTAGTATTCTCAATACATTACAACTATATTGACATCGAACATGCAAAGACAGACTCATCTTAAATCACAACACAAATTCGTTAAATTATTTGTACATCATTACTTATACAACACGCTATGTTGTAGGAGTATTCTTTCCGTCTCTTCGTCAGTATCAATAATATTGTCACTTTTTTTAAAATCTTTCGTGCAGATTTATATAGTTTAACCATACAATGTCATAATAGTCGGGACAGTTATTGCATTATGCATTATTCAGGCACTTTTTGTTTAAACGATTGAAACACAAGCTTTGCCTATTGGCAAACCCATATATCTATAACAAAAACATTAAATAGATATCTATATTAATAAAATCTTTTGAACTGATCATGAATTGAACGGATTCAGGCACGAAAGGCGTGGTTCGGTTTTACATGTTGTCATTGTTCAAATTGAATGTGATAGTAGCCGTAGATCTGTGTGAAAAAACTCAACATAGACTTGGCTCAGATTGTTGGTATCTGTCAAGTGGGAACAATATCGTGCTTAGCAAGAGAAACCCTGCTTAATTGAGGCTACATTATCTTCAGTAAAAGAGTCTTCGGTATATCACAATAATAACAGTGTGCTCATGATCAACACTTGCAATCATTAAAGACAAAGCGGCTGAAAAGAGAACACAATTATAAATATCAATAACAGTACTTTTGGCAAATAACATTATTATACTTAGAAATATTGGTACTTCAGACGACTTTGCCCTCTTCAGCAAGATACACATGTTCCGCAATTTTGAGGGACATATTCAGTAAGTTCGTCAGTTTGGAACTAGTAACTATATATATAAGATGACCTGAATTGAAGCAGCTTTTCAGTCGTGTCATGTCGTGTCAAGTAGCTTAGCCATAAACTCTTCCTCAATGTTACACAACTGCATCCTCTGCTCTTGAACTGATGTCTGAAACACAAAAGATATTAAATAAGAGAAGTCAATTAATTCATTAAAGGTCACCATATAAAAATAAAAATAAATCGCTTTAAATGATAGTATTTAAGAAGGATATGTTCCTGGGGTCAAAAGTACCTAAAAGTGTTGGTATATGAAATCAAGGAAAATAACAAAAAATACTTTTCATGAAAAAAAAAGAAAAAAGAACAAGAGGCCCAATGGGCCTGCATCGCTCACCTGGTATTAATCTCACACTTGTAATCTTAAAAGTGGACTAAAATACAGCTACAGGCAGAATATCAGTGTTTGATTCATAAGAACCTATTAAAAGATTTAAACATATGACGCCTGTGACCTTGAATGTCGAACATGGACATTAG